GTAAAAGGGGGGTTAGCACCCAGGACATAGCAAAGAATAGATGAGCTCCAGTACTCAATTTCCGACTGAATTTCATCAATCGTGACCATTCCAATTGCTCTTTGATTCACAATTTCAGGCTCAATAAACCTCAGAGATTTCTTAGCACCTTTAAGAATTTTTGGATCAAATTGATTCCATACATTCTTTGTGTTGTTATTCACATTGCCCTGTACTATCTTATTCCCCAATCTCTTTTCCGAATCCCCCATAGCCACAATTTTTGGCTCTTATATCGATTCAAACAAAGAACTTGAACTTGAAGCAACATTTAAGGCTATACTTGGGGTTTCCAGACAAGAATTACTCACATTTATTGCGCTGTTAGGGTTCTTCCCTCCATAGGATTTCAGTTGATTGGCCACGAAATCTCCACGCAAATTGATTCTTTCTTCTTCAGGCTGCTCACTAGACCCCGATCCATTATTCTCAGCTATCTTCTTTGATTTCTTCGCCATTCAGACGGTTGTGCGAAATCGGTGCGGAGAACACACAGTCAACGTGTTTTCGCCCACAGAAGTAGAGAGAATGTAATTTTATCGCTGATTTCTTAGCGTCCCTGGCGGCATCGAATCCAGGAGGGCTTACTCGACTAGATTTGCCAACCACCAGGTATACTAGGGTGGTTATGCCATGATGTCATCGGTATAGCTTATCCAAGGCAGGTCGTTGAGTAAACTCTTGAAACTTTTGAGGCTCTAATATATTCCTTTATGAACAAAAAAAGAAAAAAAAAATGTAACACCTATCGTTTCTTCCTAGTAACAAAAGAAAAAAGAACTCTAACTAAAAGTGAGACTCGAAAACTACTTCTTACAAGACCTTTGAGAGCTAAGAGTTCCGGAAGCTACTTTGATCTTCCTTAAGACCTCCTAGAATATTTTTGAACTATATCTTGGGACTACTCCTTTACTACGGAGTGTCCAATCCTTCAGCTAAGTTGGGTGCAAGAACTCGATGGGGAGAGCTCCATTTATAAGTGAAGTTCTTACTATCCCTACCTACCCCTTGTTCATTATTTTAAGATTTTGATAATCCCTACCTGACCCTTCCTTATTATTTTAAGACTTTCACTATTCTTGCTTGCACTTTCCTTATTACTTAAGTGTTACTATTCCAACTTACCCATCCATTGTTAATTTAATCTTATTTTACTATTCATGGAAGCTTCTATATTATTATCATCGTCATCATCATCGTATAAGACATAAAACATTCTTTATTTAAATAATTTAGAACTACTGATTTCCATAATTATTTTTGGGTATTACAGTAAACACTAGAGATATTTAAGGCATTGATCGAGAAAAAGGAGCACAATTGTGTGGAAATATGAAATATGAAGGATTCTCGATCCACATTGGAGATTGTAACTCATGTGTCCATGGGTGGATATCAAAAAAATATAGAAGTAGAATTGGAGCAAGAAGGAGATCAGAATGGAAGAACAAAGGGGTTAGGGTTTGAGAATAGGGAGGATTGAGAGTGAAATAAGATAATTGGGGAAAAATGGATTCTGTTTATCCAGTCAATGCAAAGCAGTTCGTTATTTCCTTTGACTTAGACTAATTAAAGTCTAACCTAACTTTGCCTAATTGTACATCAATCCCTGCACTAACTAATACAACCAAACAGTTCCAAGGGTGTGACAATGTTGACTAATATATAAGTCCTGTGTGCTATTCCATTTGTTGCCAATTGGTTTTGAGGTAGATACACACGTGGGTTAATATGAGCTTCAAGATGGTATCAGAGGGCTTTTTAACCTATGGACTTAACTAACCTGATAGTGCATTCCGAGGTTTGACTTACCCGTTTGGCATTATTTTACCTTATCCATTTCTGTCTTACTCATCCAACCTGTTTAGGTTTTACTTACCTGTTTGGCCCATACTTACCAAGTTGTTATATATGAGCGTTACAAATTTGACAATTTATCCAGTTTGTCAAACCCCTTTTAACTTAAGATGGACTTTTGAAATATGAAATACGAAGAAACAATGTTCCACATTAGAGATTGTAGACCGTGATGAGCACCACATATGTCTCATGTGCTACTCCCGGCATGACCAATTAGTTTTGATATGAAACCATATATGTGGGTTTATGTAGACCTTCAAAAGAGTTAAGGAATATGGATTAAACTAGTACATAACCTTAATATACATATATATATATATGTATATTAATACAAGGCATTGGCTAGGCTGACTCGGCAAAGCCAGGGGTTAAGGGTTGGGGGGTTCGACTCAGGGGGAGGGGGCTTGTTGACTCTGATGATATCATAATGATGTAATAAATAGTAATTAACTAAATTTCATTAAAAATGATAGATTTTCTATATATTTGCCTATTATAAAAGTCAATTTTAGTAATTTAGAATCTTTAATTTTACTTTGGTAGGGTAAAACTGTGATAATAAATAAACTATTAGCATTCTTTAATTACTTTTGTAAAAAATTATTGAAATTGCTCAATAATTTACTTTAATCATCAAGGAATAAAAATATCACAATTTATTAAATTTATTTGGTATACACTATATCTTTTCTTTACAACTGGTTATTAATGAAACATTTCAAACATTAATGAAAGTTGACACAAAGGTGATATGGAATGTGGACATGGGAGGTGGGGTTGCTGCCCAATTAATCGGGCAACAACTACGTACACCACAAGCGCCTCCCCGTAGTCATGCAACTTTGGTCTAGGGAGATTGGGTGGAATCTAGATGATGTAACAGTAGGTTAGTCTGTTCGCTTTAAGGTTAAAAAGTGTGATATGAGACCTGAGCAAATTTGGACGAGTTTTGATGCCACTTCAAGTGTCGATAAATATATAACCCATGTGATGTCCAGTATCTTCCGCAATTCAAAGGGAATTCTGCTTTCAAACAAGGCAATATGGGCTAGGGGCTGGAGGTATGAAGTGATAAAAAATGAAGCCTCTCCGATCGGCGATCTAGAGATTTAATTGATGGCTAATGGAATGAACTATTTGATGCGAAATTTCACTCCAAAGTCAAACCTTGTGACACCAACCGTCAGGATTGAATCAGACAGTGCAATTGCAATGAGAGCTATAGAAGTGCCTATAGTAAAATAGCACCGCAAAACTGATGTAGAGGCACAAAGAAGACTAAGACTACATATGTAGGTCTTACAGAAGTTTGTAATGTGGATGTTGTCCATGTTGCTTCCAAGAGGAACACCTCTGGAGATCAACTAGCCAAAAACATAAGAAGGGTCATAGTACAGAGATAGCACCTAGAAGAGAATGGTGGCTACGAGGAAGAAGTACCACTACCATGTAAGGAGGAAGTACATCTTTTTGTTGAAGAGGTTGCAACAATAAAAAGAGAAAAGCCCCATGTTTGTTGGAGGAGCACTGATGTGGAATGTGAATGTGGATCAGAATGTAGTGTTGTGTTAATATGTGTTAACGAAATGATAACAAAATTTTTAGGTTTGGTTGGATAGGTTTCTGGAATTCTTTGAGGTTTTCTGTTCACACAGAATATGTGTCATTCCTTTGTCAATACATTTTCATTATGAGACAGGGATACTGGTAACTTTAAAACTGATCAAGCTTAGTGGCTTATTTTCACTTATTATGAAAAAGAAGCTTCTACAATTTCCTCATGGAATGACAAAGCAGAGTTTCTCCTTAAAAAATGTATTGATGATTTGCAATGTGAAATGAATAGTTTAATTAAAAGTTTTGATATAATAAAGTCAAATCTTCAAATAAAAAATTTTTAGGTGAACCAGGGTGGTACCTGGCAGGCATCCCCCAATTTTATTGATAAAAAGGAAAAAATTATATAGGCAGTGCTTAAGATTTACCCAAACGGAAAGAATCGTCTTACAAAGTTTTCTAGAAAATTCATGACGATTCTTGTGCAATTAATTCTAGGAATTGTCTTACAAAGATAATCTAATATCCCCTGACAATTCACCTTTTTAACTAGAGATCCTAGGAGTATGTCTTATAAAGATCATGCATTAATCCCCTATCAACTCCATCTAGGTTACCTGAAACTAAAATCTATCTAATCCACAGATATGGGAAGGCGCACTTGTCTAAATACCATTTCCCAAGCAATGAGATTGGAGATGTGCTGTAGTTTCATATTGCATAGATGATCCTTTAGATGCATTTTTGGTTAGTTCATCTGCCATGCTATTCACTTCTCTATACACATGGATGATCCTCGAGTTTAACATATGCAACAATCTTTGAATGCTCTTTAGCTGCATTTGATGTTTCCATGGAAAGTTGCAATTTTTTTGGATGGTGGTAACAATAGATTTGTTATCAGTTTGAACGATGACACTAGTTTTCCTCTTTCTCGACAATGTTGTAGTCCATTGAGTATTCTTTAGATCTCAGCTTCCATACTTTTTGCTTGTCCCATGTACTTGCTTTCTGCCCGGCTGAATCTTTCCTTTTTTCCTCTCAGTACATATCCCCATCCTGCTGAACCTGGTTGCCCAAATGCTGAGCCATCTGTGTTGAGGGTTGTTTCTCCCGGATCTGGTGGTTGCCATCTTAAAGAGAGCAATGTTCTCGTTCAAGCCATCTCAACTTTATTATGAAATATTTCTTCAATGTCTTTTTGCTCCCTTGGATCTCGAGTTTTGAGTTATGTACACTTAGCATGCTGAAAATGTGAGAGTTAATATCTTGAAGAATAAGATCAAATGAAAAAGCCATACCATCATAAATCATTTTGTTGTGACTTTTCTATATTTCGCACAATACAAATGCCGGAAGAACCATTATTATGGTCTTTTTAGCTGAGGCGTTATTTCCAATCCTTTGCCATGCACGCACTAGATCCCTCCATCCTGCATTATAAGAATCAACAATCCCTAAATTAACAGAGAAAAATTTCCAAACCATTATATCTTCCTCCTCTTCCATACAAAAAGGGCACCTAGAAGGTTTTGAACAGAACCCTAATTTTTGTAAAACTTGGGGAAAAGGAAGCATTCCATTGTAAAGTTTCCAATATCTCCATCATCACGTGTCACATCTTGTTGGCTTATAACATGAATTCCTTCTCCAGAATCCGTATATGCCAATTCAGTTTCAGAGTCACTTGCAACTTCATCCGCCATTCTATCGTCCACCTTTCCTTGTTCTTCCTTTATAACATTAGGCTGATCCTCTGATATATCCGCTAGAATATCAAAGCAAGACAATAAGTTTAAAGGAGATAGCAAAATCGAGGGCTTCCTATATTCAATAAGTTGCCGCTCCGCATTCACAGTATTGTTAGCCATATCATCTTCTTCCAATGTATTCTTCAAGTTTTCTTCCTGCGAGCTCTTCTCCAGAATTGCGCTTAATCTTTCTTTAGAAAGAAGACGCTTATCTTTTGGAACTAACGGGCTTGAATCCCTAATATCTGTTGGAATATTCATCTTTTCAGTTGCAGTCAGCCATGACGAAGCCTCTTCTTTGCGCTGATTAATTTCCTTCCCCATAACTACTTCTACTGCATCTTTCGGCTTCCATGTATGATTTGCAAATGGGGGCTTAGTTTGTTATCCAAATGCCATCTTTTTTCCTTGTTTTTGTTTATTTTCAATCGCAGGCTGGGACGCTTTTGTCACAGGATCGGTTGCCATGGTCACAGGTTGTGACACTGAATGCTCTTTTTCATTATCAGTCACAGGGCGTTCTTTTTCCTTTACTGGCGCCGCCTTGGGTTTTCCATGTTGACAACAATTGTGAGAAGAGTGTCCAATTTTACGACAATTAATACAATATTCAGGCAGATTTTCATATGTAACTTGTTGATTATATGAATACTCCTCAGTTCCTAACAGAATCCATTTCGGCAATTCATGATGAAGGTCCACTTCTACACAAACCCTGGCAATTGGAGGCCGAGACATATTTAGCGTCGGAACATCAATCTTTAGTGGGTGACCTATGATCCTTGACAACTTGTAGAGATATTCTTCATTGAAACTGTGAACCGGTAAACCATCAAAAGACACCCATACCGGGGTGATAGATGATTCTTGTTCAGTGTTAAACCTCGGAGTCCACTTGAGGACTCTCATGATGTGATGATCAAAGGACCATAGAACTTTTATCCAACATCTCTAAAAATCCTCCTCCAAATCAACATAGATCAAGATGTCTATGATCTATCATCCCAAGCAAGAAACTGTCTTTGTAGCCAATCTTGTTAAATTTGTTCCACAAATATTTCATCTTCGGCCGTCTCTTAGAAAATTTCCCGACTAAACAGAACTTAAAAGGAGCCCCAAGCTTTTCATCCTCCTCTTTCAAAAGCAAAAAAGCTGGTTCACCCTTCAGCACTGTCGGATTAGATTTGATGAATATTTCAAGGGTTGATTTTTCAAATGGTTGGATAATACTTCGGGGATTTGGCTTAGAGACATTAAGAATTTGCACAAAGGAAGGCTATTTTTGCCGGCCATTGTCCGGCGGCCTTGGAGCCGCCTTTGTAGTGTTCGGACAAAACTAGGGTTTTCTTAGAGAGAAGCAAGAGAAAAAATTCCTAGAGAGAGAAAAAATGAGAAAAAGACAAAGTTAAGAAAAGGAGCAAAAGGACAAAACCCAAATCAACCCACTAGCACCCGATTTCGGGTTTGGCTTAAACCAAGTTTAACTTCTACGGATTTTTGGGATGGCTCGGACATGGGTGAGTTCCAGTCCCCAATTAAACTGGTTTAACCAGCTGGTCCGATGCGAAACAAAAAACATATTGCATGCACAAAAATCAATTTTTTCGCAAATACAATAATCGAGACTAAATAGTGCATAAAATATGTTAATCAATCCATCATTATAGGGTACTGACCAAGATGTTAGTTAAACTCTAAAGCACCATGCTAATACAATCATTTGGTCCTTTGTTATTGTCACAGTTATCATGTTTTGAGATTAATATATCTTGTATTTAGATTATATTGTAGCATTGTTAAGTCTATCTCTTATACTTATCATCTATTGTATTCTCCCTATATATGTGGTGTTTTATCAATGAGAAGGAATCAATTCAGTCTGATCATTCATAGACTTCAAGATGGTATCAGAGCGGGTTTTTAATGCGCGGACCTGTGGAACTTGTGGGGCGAGGTGGTGGTGGATGATGTCATTGATGCACTCCCAAAAGAATGTTTATAAAACCTACTTAAAACTATTAGCTAGCGGTAAGCATGATTGTTCCACAGAGATAGCAGTCAACCACTCAAAATCTGATTAAAGTTCAAGGAAAGGAAAGTAAATGAATTAAACAGATTTGTCACTTGGGAGAGTAAGAATAGTCACTTGACAGAGTGAAGAGGCAGAAGGGTCAATCACCTTCCTATCTTTATGATCCAGTTTTGATTCAAGTAATCCTATAGTGTGTGATTTCTTGTTTGATCAAGCACATATATTCTTTATAATTCCTGTCAGACAGAATAAAGAGTCCTAAATTATATAAATTACCTACCTCTCAGTCAGTGTAATTCATTAATCTGAGCCATTTAGTTCATATGCCCTCTTTGATCATCTATGCCAATTACCTAACTCTTGTTGATGATTAAAACCAAAGGGTAGATTTCCTCCTTTGACAAAGACTAGATTAAGCCGTTCTAAAGTTATGCTCCCCTCTCAGATCTTCATAACTATACATGCACATTTAATAAAGTGGCCAGTTTAATCAAAAGGTTAATTGAAACCCTTATCTAGACACAATGCCTCATCAAGGAAAACTAAATCAAAACCTTCACATAAAGATAGTAGGGATTGAACCCTTAACTAAGTTAGCTACTCATGTTTATTGAGTTAAACATGAGAGCAATAAAGTACAATAGATAAGACACAAGTCAAGATCAAAAGGTTAGAGGATAGAAGGGAAGGATGGTAGTAGGGGCAGTTTCTGTCTGCTCAGTATGGCGAGTGGCGTTCGCCACTTGACAGAGTGACAGTCTGCACTCTTGCTCCCACTACTACCATGTTTCTAATCAACTAACTAACTATCTAACTACTATCTTTGTAACAGATTCTAACTACCCAATCTGTCTCTTTTTCTTAACTGCTATTGGCTGACTATTTATAGAGATTTGTATAGGCTTGGATTGGTGGAGTTCTTGCCTTCCTTGCAGCAGATTGGAGGAGGCAGCAAGTTGAAATAACTGAAGTGATTTGTTTATTCAGCAGCTTGCCCAATTGGCAAGTTGCTGTCTTCTCTTGGCAGCTCCTTTCTTATCTCCCACCTTCTACTCATCATTGCTTCTTCTCCTTAGTCTTTTTCTCCGGCGCATCCACACCATTTGCAGCCATAAATCTCCATTTCTTCATTCTTTAATTCTCTCAGCTCAACTAGCAGCAGCATGCTTTTTCTCATCATTGTGTTTTTAGCCCCCAATTCAGCCTCAATCTTTTGCCCTTTTCTTCCTTGTTTCCTGCGTCACTTGCTACACCATTGCTCACCCTTTAGCAGCAGCCAATCCATCAACCCAGCAGCAGCATTAGTTGGTAAGTAGTAGAGTTGTAGCTATTGTTCTTCTCATATATTCCCTCTTTCTCCTCTTCCACTTGCAACAGTAACAACTTACAGTGATGACACAGCAATTCCTTCCTTGGGCACTGAGATTTCAGCTTGTGGCTCCTCTTTGATTGATAGCAGCAACAGCTACTGCAGCAGCAACTTGGCAGCAGAGCAGCTTCCATTCTTCTCCTCAACTGAGTTTGCTGTTGTAGATTCCTTTCAATTGTGATCATCTGCTGCCATTCTTCCTTCCTTAGCAAGGATTTCTCTACTTGCTTCAGCTCTAATCAATCCTCCAGTAGCTTGAATTCCAGTAGCTTCCAATTCAGTCCAGAATGATGCTCTTTTTTGTAATTTGGCCCTCATTTATGCTAATTTTCCATATTGACCCCTTGATTACCCTGAAATACAAAATTAACCCAAAAGTAAACTAATTCTAACTAATTGACACCTAATTCTAAGTAAAAATGAGTAGAAAATACCTGCTAAAAGTGTATATATTTTACTATCATCAGGTGGACTAACTCATATTGGGTGAAACTTTGACCAACCCAGGGAAGAAATTCGGGGTTTGACTTTAACCTTTGACTAGCCCGGTAGGTGACGGTTTATCCGGGAAAATAACCGATCTCAAGAATAAATAAATAAAAAATGTATAAAAATTACTCGTCCAAGCCCTCGGGCTTCAGAGGGGCGTGTTGAATGAATATGCCTCATGTTGCCTTGTACCACATGAATGGAAAGAAACATTTGAACCCAACATATATATACCCCATGTGCTACTCCCCTCATCACCCATTGGTTTTGAAGTAGGACCACATGTGGGCCTATATTTGGGCCTTAAAGATGGGAGCTAGACTCTTACATCAAAACACAAAGTGGAAGGTTATTTCTGGAAAGGACATTCGGATCATGATAATTGGATCCCAGGCCGTGACAATCCAATACAACAGGAATCAATTCTGGCAACACATTCTAACCTCTTGGTTAGTGACCTCATCCGTCCCAATGGCCAGGGAAATTGTCGGTTATCCGTATATATTCCCAGATCAGATGATCCCCTATATTACTGGGATCTTTGTGCATCCCTCTAATCATAGGCAAGATGATAAAATTCAGTTGCTGCATACGGATCATGGTCAATATACAGTAAGATCAGGATACAATATTGCAATCAACATGTTCATTACTTCTCCTCAGCCCCAACAGGATCAGGTGAGAGTACAACTAGAAACCACGGCTTGGAAATGCTTGTGGAACTCAAAAGTGCAGCCTAAATGCAAATTCTTATTCTGGAAGTCAGCCCTGAATGCTCTCCCATCTACGCAGGGTCTTAACAAACATGGAATTCAACTAGACACTGCATGCCCTAGATGTTTTACACATGAGGAAGATAACCTACATCTCTTCTTTACTGGCCCGATATCTCAGGCTGTTTGGAGCTTTGCATATAAAAAATTTCAATCAATTCTGCAAAGTTCGGTCTTATCCATTTTTTAGTGGTATGTGCAATGGATTCAGACTTAACCCTCCTCACAGGAATTAGATTTGTTCCTTTTGATCTTCTGGAGGATATGGATAGAAAGGAATGACAGATTATGGAGTAACCAACCAACTTACCCGATTAATTTATGGAGACAAATACAACAGGATCTCAAGCAACACAATTCCATGATGGCCAGATCACAGTCCTCCAACTCCCCTCATTAGAACATACCAGGAACAAACGATTCAAGAAATGAGTATTCTGAAATCGTTTTTATGCTTCCTTTAATCCTCATTCCATAAAGGCTGCAGGGGCATGGAAACCAACCTCCTCTACAGGTATGCTTATGCAAATAAAATCGGTCTCTCTCAATTGTTTGTCACCTTTTCAGGCAGAATCGATGACATGTTTCAAGCGCTCCAAGATGCATCAAATTTAGGCATTTCCAAGCTTAAAGTTTATTCTGATTGTGAGTTGCTAGTTTCTAATCTACCCATAGACTCTCTTCCCTCTGAAGGCCAAGTGGTTAATACAGCTCTTAGAGCGTTAATTTCATCTTTCGAATCTTGTTGTCTGATTAAAGCGAGTAGATTGGAGGTGAATGATCTACATAATATAGCTTATGCCCGAATGAGATGTAATAGCATAGGTACTTTCAATTAATATAGGTATTATTTTCGAAAAAAAAAACTCTTAAATTAAATGGGAATGAGTTTTAAGAAAGATGAAATCATTGAATGCCTAGGCCTGGTCATGGCAGATGGTTTTGTTGTATCATTGATTATCATGCCTCATTTTTTTTTTCTTTTTTATTGTCATCTTACATCATATCGATGGTCCTATCTTAGAATTATTAGGTTCTTGTAATTTCACCCGTTAGGTTTCAATATTTGTTAATAAGATAGATAATACAGTGATTGAGTTTGAATATAAGAAGAAATGCCTTGTATTTTCTCGTCATTTCCTTATTTTACCCGTGAAATTTTAATATTTTTTTATCATAAGGGCGTCGTTTTTTTTTTCTGAAAATAAAATATTGAATTAGAACGCACATAATTAAAATTTGACAAAAGAATGAGCTAATTTTATTTACATTTATTACAGGATCCGGTTTCTATGGATATGGTTAAAGTTTTTTAAAACAATACAACGTAGTGTTGACTTAAGATTTTTTGGAGGAAAACTTTTAACCACAACGCAACATCTCAACATTTTTTTTATCTCTTGGACTTTTGTTTTAATAGATTGATATATTGATTTGTTAGTCACACTATAAAATTTGGTTGACAATTATGATAAAATATAACAAAAATGCACCGTCATATAGTAAAACCTCTATAAAGTAATACATTTAGGCCTCAAAAAATTTATTAATTTATAGATAAAATAATTACTAATTTATTGATAAATTAAAATTTTAAAAAAATCAATCTTATAAGTAAGAAAATACAAAAAATTACTATTTTTCTGTCAAGAAAAGTTCATAGCCATAACATTATAATTTCTTAATAGAACAAAAACATGATAATTACAAACAGAAACAAAACTCTTTAAGTTAAAATATAAGTTAATCTTCAAATCTAATTTATTATTTCACATATTTATTAATTTATGGAACTATGGGGACCTATATTTTTGCATAAAAGATTCTTGAAAAATTATTATCTTATAAATTAATTGTGTTTTTTATTTTATTTTTTGTACTGGTTCCGATTTGGGACCGGAGAAAATAGTTATTTAAATGAAGTTATTAATTAATAATAGAAGAAGATTAATTTAGGGAGGTGTTACTGTACTTTAAGGCTGAGACCATCCACAAGTTTAAAGTAAATGACCTGGGGATGTAACTAAGCCACCAATCAAAATAAACTCATCTGCATGGATTTAGCATGACACATCATAATTGGCAAATTATCTGGTACACCCGGGGGTCCCGTGTCCCCCCATGCGCGTGTACCTTACTCTCTTACAATAGCGTTAGACCGCCATTATAATTCAGCTTTCTTTTTCTTTTTTCTTTTTTTTTAAACGCGGGGTTATATAAATAACCGAATTCATTCAAATTTGGAAAACTTTGTGATAGAGTATTATTGATGGGCGATGGCCGACGGCGATCAAGGCGTTGAGGCGGCAATGGGAGTCAGCAATCGAGGCGTTGAGGTGGACACGGGCGGCGGCGATCGTGTCGTTGAGACGGCGACAGCATTCAACGATCGAGGAAAGGCTTCAATTCCACCAGAGTGGCGAAACGGTGATTGGATCGATGATATGCTGAGTTCAGATCGAGTGATAAGTTATGTCGTTGATGATTCCGGCTTGATGAATGCGGAATGTAGTGGTAGAAAATCCATCGAACAATCTTACTGTGCCAGCAAATCAACGCAAGGTCACAGTTCTGTTGTAGATCAGCTGGAATCAGGTTTGTTTAGGTTTCGGAGTGTACTGTAAGCAATCAAGTTTTTTTCACAGTTCTGTTTTTGTTAATGTTGTATGAAGTGGATAAGCAGTTATGCTGTGTTGGATATCCAAAATGTTTGTACTGGATATCCACTTTGTTTGTGCTGGATATCCAGCTTATGTGTACTGGTTATCCAACTGATTTACATGCGTATCCAAATTTTATTTGCTGGATATCCAACTGATTTGTACTGGATATCCAACATTTTTGAGTTGTTTATATTGAATTGGTGTTTTTTCACAGTTCGGAGTGTACTGTTTGTGAGAGAATAGTCAATCTAGTTTTTTCACAGTTCCATTTTTGTTAATGTTGTATGAAGTGGATAAACAGTTATGCTGTGTTGGATATCCAAAATGTTTGTACTAGATATCCACTTTGTTTGTGCTGGATATCCAGGTTATGTGTACTAGTTATCCAACTGATTTATATGCGTATCCAAATTTTATTTGCTGGATATCCAACTGATTTATACTAGATATCCAACATTTTTGAGTTGTTTATATTGAATTAATGTATCAAAGATTTTTTAAAAAAATTTTTTGTTTTTCTGTTTGTCTCATTTTTTGTAAAAGATAACCATATCAATGAGTTGGGGGATGATGTGGTGCTGGATGATGCTTTGCGCATGGAAGTTACATCTGCTCTGAAGGATAGGTTTTCTAACTTGTTTATATATGTTTAAATTTTTTTTTGATTTGTTTATCCATTGTGTTAATACTGATTATCCGACTGCATGGTAATGGTTATCCAACCATCTCTTTTGTTTTTCTCAGAATGTGGAGAAGATAATAGCGGCAATGAATTGGGAGTTGATAATATGATGGTGGAGGAGGATACCTTGCACAAGGAAATTTCATATGTGATGAAGAATAATGATTTGGCTGTTTTTACTTTAGTTGGCAAGACTACAAGAAGTGAGAAAAAAGCTTATGATTTGTATAATGATCATGCCCGGTTGATTGGTTTTAGTGTGAGAGTGGGAAAACAGAAGTTTAGAGGTAAGACTGATAAAGTTAGGATGAAGAAATTCTGTTATAACCGCGAAGGATACAAGAAATCCGGTGGAAATGGTGATGTGTGCCATGAGAGGATTAATTTTCGGTGTGGGTGTCCAGCTTTTATCCATTTTACTGTTGACAAAGATGACTTGTGGACCTGTACAAAGTATCTGGTTGATCACAATCATGATCTTGTGCCGAATGAAATGATTGGACTTCTTCGATCTCAACGTGAAGTAGATGAAAATGATATGAAGATAATCAAAGACATGACAAGGAGTGGCATCCCTTTGGTTGATGCATATAAGTTTGTGACAAAATTACATGGGGGAAGTCCGAACATGAAGTATACTTTGAGAGATGCCTACAATTATGAGCGTCCTGGTGTTGGATTTGAAGGTGTCGATTGTAATCAGCTCATGAAGATTTTTTGGGACAGGAAGGAAACTGAAGAAGATTTCTTCTTTGATTTTGACTGTGATGAGCAGGGTAGCGTGTGTATTTTCTTCTGGAGGGATGGCAGAATGCGAAAGAATTATGATTTGTTTGGTGACTTGCTTGTGTTTGATGCAACGTATCGAACAAACAGATATGGAATGATCTGTGCTCCGTTTGTGGGTATGGATAATCATAAAAGAATGTCATGTTTGGTTGTGGTTTTGTGTTAAACGAGAAAGAACCCTCTTTTGTTTGGTTGTTCAAGCAGTTTTTAAAATCAATGGGAGATAAGCAGCCATAAACCATAATGACAGATCAAGCACCTTCCATTGCTGCAAGTATTCAGACATGTTTTCCAAGTTCTCGGCATCGTCTCTGTGTATGGCACATAGGTGAAAATTCAAGAAAGCGAATTGGTCATTTAAGGAACAAGCCAGATTTTGTTAAGAACTTTAATTATCTGATGAAATACACTTCAACAGAAATCGAGTTCGAGGTATTATGGAGGAGGTCAGTTTGTCAATATTTTTATTATTATTTTGATCATTTCCATGATTAAGAGTGTCTCTTATTTTTTTTGTTGTGTGGGTATGTGTTAGTGGTCATGCATGATCTTCCTGATGATTACTTATAGGTAGGTAAGTTATACAACAATGATAGATAACCAGCAAAATAATGAATGGACAACCAGCCGCATAGAAGCACAACTAAAAAAAAGCATGGATAACTAGTTCACAGATTGTGGATAACCACCCATTATGGCCAGATAACTAGTTTACAGATTCTGGATAACCAACAATTATGGTTGGATAACCACCGGTTATGGCTGGATAACTAGTTTACAAATTATGGATAATCAACAATTATCTCTGGATAACCACCCGTTATGGCTGGATAACTAGTAGAAAGCCTTTGTTGCCTGGATAACTATATGGATAATCTAACTATTTTTCTTTTTATGCATGTGTTTTATATTGTTGTGCACAGATTATTGGATGAGTATGCTTGTCATGATGACAAATGGCTCAATGGTATTTATGATGTGAGGAATATGTGGTGCCCTGCATTTAGCAAAGATGTTTTTTCTGGTGGTACCTTGTCTTCACAGAGGAGCGAGTCAACAAATAATGCAATTTGTCATAAAATGAAGGCCACATCATCGCTTTGTGATTTCCATGGAATTTTCTTTGATGTTGTACACTGTTGGCGGGTAGCTGTGAGGGGTGAAGATCTACGCTGTAGCCAGGGAAACATCGATTCATATCTTCCTGGTGACCCTTACCTGGAGAGCATTCGCAGAGTGTACACAGTTGAAGCATTTCGGGAGGTTCAGCAGTTGCACAAAGATGGGATGTTGTGCAGGTAGGAGCAGTTAGAGGTCTCAAATGATGGCAATATTGTGACGTACAATGTTTGGCGGTTTGGGTAGAGCACTTTAAGCATGTGGTTGTACATGACACTAGGTTACAGGGATTGTCATGCACGTGCAGGTACTACTCTGAGGCGGGCATGCTTTGTTGCCACATTCTTCGAATCTGTCATGTAACCTCTGTTGATGAGTTTCCTAAAGATTATATATGTATGAGACGGACAAAAGGTTATGGTGCCATGTCAAGCATAGCTATTGAGGGAGATGGAAAAGCTGATGGGCCATTGCTGTGGAAGGCACTAATTATGAGACGATTTTCAGACTTGGTGTATGCAAGTGAATATAACAAAGATGCAAAAAAATGTTGTGACGAGGCGGTTGACAGGCTTAAAGAAGAACTCGGTAGTTTTATTGGTTCAAATAATAATGATGAGTCTATAGACAATGATGGTATTATAAAGAATCCGGCTATAAAGAGGAAGAAGTTTGGTCCCAGGAACGAATATCCTAAAAGCATTGTTGAGAAGGCATGTAACAAAGTCAGAGGCAGGAAAACAAATGCAAGAATTGCTGCTGACCGAACAAGAGCTTGAGTTGCATCAGACCTGCATTATCAAAGCATGCCATTTCCTTATCCAAAGGGAGCTGCTCAAGATTATTCAGGCTCAGGAAGTTTTGGTGCTGTGAATGCTTCCCATCAAAGCATGCCATCTTTGAACGTAAATTCTGGTGGATTCTCATTTGCTAATCCAAGTGTAGCTGCCAAGGATTTTTCATGGGCAGGGGCTTCCACTTCTGTGAATGCTTTTATCAAAGCATGCCATTCTCATTTCCAATTCCCAAGGGGGCTGGCCAGGAGTTTCAAAGCGCAAGCACTTCCGCTGCTGTGAATGCTTCTCATCAAAACATGACATTCATGAATCAAAACTTTGGTGGGTTCTCATTTCCTAACCGAAGGGAAGCTGCCAGGGAGGCTGGAGCGCAGTGTTTCTTCAACAAGATGTTTTATTAGTATTTTTACTTGATGTTGAAATGAACAGTATTGATGGTGTAAATATTTTTATTTAAAAAGTATTATTTATTTTAAATTGCAGTATTATCAAAGCAGTTTGAACTGGTTATCCATTTTGTTTGTACTGGTTTTCCAAGTGGTTATTTTAAATTGGTTATCCGTTGTGTTCATGCTGATTATTCAAAAAGTTTGAACTGGTTATCCAAGTTGTTTGTAATGGATATCCACCGTTTTGGTTTGTATTCCTATCGAACTTTTTTGTACTGGATATCCATTTTGTTTGTACTGGATATCCATTTCGTTTGTACTGGATATCCAACTAGTCTATACTGGATATCCAACTCGCCTGTACCGGATATGCAATTTTAAATGCATATAGATGTTACAAAAAAAGACATGAACACGTTGAACACGCTTTCTGCACAAATAATATCATTGGATAACCAGCATAGATAACCTGGATAATTAGTACAAAGTCCTGGGATAACCAGTAATAAGTTAACAAGGGAAATATATATTTTTTTTAAAAAAAAAAATCCTAAAAGTGTGTTAATGTCTCCCAGAAGTAACATGCTCTAATGATGAAACTGGTTTCTAGATCCGGCGATGTACTTGAGTGTGTGATTTTTCCTGGTAAGAACACTATACAACAGCAAATATCGATTATCATATACTTTGACAATGAACTGTCCCGCTGGAGATGATTTGTGGCTTAGAAACACTGGATAAAGCTAATCATGACGGAGATGTAATCTGTGTGGAACGTGTGTGTTCACATTTGGGAATTCATGGGTCTCAAATATGCAATCCCATGTGGAAGTATCTGGATCCCATGCCCACATCTGACAGTGATGATTATGAGTAATGTGGTGCTCATCTATTACACACATAGTCCCCTGGAAGTCCAATATTTTCACTTGGAGATTCATATGAGAAGGATAAGTGGGGTTAAAGAAGATTGGAGATGGAGGGCAGTTTATGGTTTGGAATTGTTGAGTGTGGTAGTCAAACACGACCAGCAACTCTTGAGGTGTTGCTATTTCAGAGGATAGTTTGTCTACACGCCAGTACACGAATCTATCAAACCAGGTTCCATCAGATACAAGGCGAGGACATACATTGCAAAGTGTTTTCCATTCCCCTCTATGAATACTTGAACAACTTTGAAAAGAAAAAATGCAGCCTTGCATGTTTTTCCATCGGCAATAAGGGCCATGAAAACGTAAGTTTTTGAGGATGATACCTACCCAAATGCTGTTTCACAATTGCTGAGAGGGACATCATATGGCCATTCAACTGATGCAAGTTGTGTTGTCTTTGGGTTCAAGAATTTGATTTGAGAGCTGGTTTGCAGACAGACCAAATCTGTGGTGATAGGCATGATTTTATGGATGCCGTCGTCACCCATCGACATCTCTTCTTGCAATCGTATGTGGTTGCATGGGTTATCCATTTGCACTTTTATGTTGGTGGCGATTAGTTTGTCTTGCAACGGGTGACCTTCTTGGCTTGTTTGAGTGAAAACAAGGATGTTGTTTTCATTGCAGGGTAGCTCATCTCACGTTTTTGAAGAACAAATTATTGTCTTTTCGTCATTTGCTCTCAAGCTTTGCTGACACGACGGAACTCACCAATCTTTTCCAATGACAGATTAATGAACATATTATCAACCATATCGTGATAGATATATTCATGGTAGCTGGGGGACATTTGTTTGGTTGTGGAATTTGAGGAAATTTTTTTGTTTTTCATTTTTTTTCTGGCTGTTAGATGTTTTGGATGCTTAAATCAGGCGTTCTGGTGTATGTGCAGATGAGGGAGTTTTATAGAAATGCTCTATGTGGAGATGTCAGGGAGTTCTAGAGAAATACTGTATGTGGAAATGAGGTAGTTTATATAGAGGTAGTTTGACAGATTAACTACCCATGTAGTCCTATCTTTTTTCACAAATCAGTGTCTTCTCACTCTGTATTCATTAACCATCATTGTTATAATCAAGAAACTCATTTAATGACAGTTATGTAACTGATCCTCCTTATTCAATCCATTGCATGTAAAAACGTGTGGCTCTGTAACTACCCATTAGATCATGGTGGATGTACTCTGCACAAACATGACCCTTTTCAGTTTTCTTTTTTTATTTTTACTCCCTCAATCTTTTAAATTCTATTTAATTACAAAACGTGTGGCTTTTCAGTTATACACAGTAACATGCTCCACACTGTGGATAACCAGTATGGACATAGTGGATAACCAGTGTTCCCACTGTGAATAACTAGTTAAACACAGCTGGATAACCAGTGTTGACACTATGGACAAGCATTTTTCATAAAGAATAAAAAGAAACTGAATTTTATACCTATAAAAAGGGAGAGAGCAGGTGAATGGTTGAATGGTACAATATAAAAAGAAAACCCTTTTCCTTTCTCTCTATCCCACACACTTAATTATGATTGAATGACGTTTTCGGGCGGATTCTAAGGGACAATTATGATTGCCCGGCCGCCGTTTGGAAAACGTGCGCAGTAATGGGGCATGTTTGCCAGAATTTGGGGGGGGATTCTGAAGCAGGTCGCATTCCCGGGTCGGGTTTGGCCTTGAGTTAAGTCAGACGGCTTGCCCTCATTCATTTTTTGTTCTCCATCATTTGGCAAACTTCCCCTCATTAAATTAAGTACTGTTTATGAAATTTGCCATGTTCGGCATGGGAGTGGCACAGCTGCGAAAGGCGACGCAGCCGCGGGCACCGGCGCAGCCGGGTCATTTAGTTTATCACGGGGGGATTTATACTAGTAATTTGTGTCCACTCTTAATGCAATAACACACTCTCCTTACAAACACACTCTCCTTACACACACACGAAAAAAGGATTACCTTAGCTACATTGGCGTGTTCAGTGGGGCGGCGCAGCCGGGGCAGGTTGGTGACCTGCGATTCCGGTAGCGGCGGGAGTCGTTTAGTTTATCATGGGGGGCGAAGCCCCCCAATGAATATGCCGTCTGGATATCCATTTTCTTATGGATATTTTCTTTTGTTATGTCTTTTTGGAAGCCCTCTCTGAATCCTTGTTTTGTTATGTCCACATGGTGGATATGCATTGGTTACATATGGATAAGCAGTATTGAGGTTTCGGATAAGAAGTATAAACTCATGGATAATCAGGTTAAAGACTGTACTTGCATCTTTTTTACTGGATAATCACTATAAAACATTCGGATAATCAGGTGTAACAAATTGCATAACTGGTACAAAGATCATGGATAACCATTACAAACGGTTGGATATTGCTGCACATTGGCTGGATAACCAGTACAATAGTCCTGGATAATCAATTCAGAGCATTGGATAATCAGCAAAGGAATATTGGATAATCAGGATAACATCATAGGATAAGCAGTTTAATAAAGAAGTAGAAAAACCAAGAAATTGGGACACTCAGTTTTTATTGTTTGGGAATTTATAGAAATATTTGGACAACCAAAATACATTGTCTTGTTATTTTCTTATGGATATTTTCTTCTGTTATGTCTTTTTGGATAATCAGGTTAAAGAATGTACTTCCATTTTTTTTGACTGGATAATTATTATAAAAGATTCGGATAATCAGGTGTAACAAGTTGGATAACTAGTAGAAAGATCCTGGATAACCATTACAAACGGTTGGGTAATATACTAGGATGGCCAGTAAACAGCTGTTGGATATCAAACACTTTAGAATCAATAGTCAATCAATTATACAAGAGAACATAATGACAGTTCATTTAACCCATCCCTGAATTTTTTTGTCATTGTAGTAAGATTTGCCGCTCAAATCAACATGATCTGGAATTTCTTTTTGTTCTTCTTCAGCAGTATTTGTATAGAACTGGTGCATTGCTTCGAGGATTTTGTCCTTATTTTTGTTTGCTGGGTGCATAAGGATTTTTATCATGTATTTCCACGTGTACTCTTTGATGTTTCCTGGTTGAAATCCAAAGTAGTACCATCCTCGTACTCACCATCATACCGCTCCATGTGGTGCATTGTGTATATTCCACAATCTTTCGCATTCGGCATTTTGTCCTTATGTGATGGTAGCGTAACCTCTGTCAAGGCGTACTGAGCACTGACCAGTTCTATGTGTGGAAACACGCATTCAACATAGCTTTGGAAGAACCGAAACTGTGATGCCATAAAATCCAAGGATCAGCAGAATGTAATGGATAATTCTTAAACTATGACAATCATTTTGTATATTTTTTTTCACTCACAAGTAGATCTTTTGTTGGCTTGTAGTAGTCCAGATCTTTTGCATGAATGTTGTTGAGGACAACAATGGTGAAAACCCGGGAGAAAGCGACAGGGAGAGAGGTTTTGGAAGTTATAGATCTGAAGTTGTTCGCATTCACAGTATGCAAACTTTAGGAAAACCCAGATGAAGCCACGTGGCCGCCCTGGCCAGTTTCAGAATTTTCGCATTCCCCTTATGCGAATACTCCACTATACGGGAGTCCAGTTCCTGGACTCCAATACAAATGTTAAGAAAACCCAGATGACGCCACGTGGCACGCCCTGGACAGTTTCATATTTTTCGCATTCCCCTTATGCGAAATATTCATGGTCCCATCGTCTATTCGCTTTTGCCACGTGGCGCGACGAATGGGAGGCATGACTTGGTTCGCATTTCATACATGCGAACATATTTTAACTAGAGTCCAGGAACTAAAACGTTTACTAATATTCTTTGAGGGTAGTCTTGTAGTCCTGGACAGTACACAAAATTAACATTAGTACAAATTTAATATATTTTAAACTATTACAGAAATACAAACATAGACTTGAATATTGTTCGAATTATTACAGAAACCAAAACCCAAATACAAATTCAGAATTCTTAGAATTATTACACAAATGCAAACTCTGAATTAATCAAACCATTACACAAACACAAACACTACCAGAACCACTACTTGAAGATTATTCAGATTATTACGCAAACACAAACTTTGAATTCCTACTCAGAATTCTGAAGATTGATCATCAGAATCATCAGTCTGCATACGGGGTACACCATGCATTCCATATCGATCGTAAGCATGATTCAAAGGAGTCCTGTCTGAAGATGGATGTGAGAATGCGCAGTTGAAGGTATCATGATCAAATCCTCCACATCGCGCGCAAACTTTCTCAACTACGCATACACTGGCATTATGGCCTTCTTGATGACATCGACCACAAACTTGAACTCTCTTGTTACCAGATTTTTTCGTATAATCCATAAGTCCTTTCTTATGGATACGGTAATCGTCACACCGTTTCATGGGATTCGTCGCGAGGGGTGAATGGCATTTGTCAATTTCATCTATGTTTTCCTGAAACAACTTGTTAGTCTTATACAATGTGGCAAGAATCAAAGCAGTGATAGGAAGAATCCGGCAACCTTTTAAGACATTATTAGAACTCTCGGATATGTTCGAAGTCATTTCTCTCCAACGATATCCCCCGTCCCAATAATGGGTACACTTCTCAAGACCGATGTGCTGAAGATATATGGCTGCATCTCTATTTTTACTTTCTAAATTCATCCATTCTTTTTCAAACTTGCCTTTTTGCAACATTGAACAAGCCCTTTGACAAGGTCTTTTGAGTTTCTGCCCAGGAAAATTGCCAGCTAAATTTGCTTTGATGTGCTGCAGACAATAACGGTGCACTCCCATCCCTGGAAATTTATCAAGAATAACATCCATAGCAGCAAGAATACCTATATGGCGATCAAAGATAATGTAGGTCTCCTTGTCAAGTAGAACAAATTTTTTCAGGTATTTAAGGAACCATTTCCAGCTGTGCAATGTCTCTTTATCCACGAGGGCAAACGCGATGGAAACAATTGTGTTATTCGAGCACTTCACACATGCCACGATCAATGTTGCTTTGTATGAACCTCGGAGGTGGGTGGCGTCGACGGTTATGACCGGCCAAGCAGCTCTAAATAAATGTATAGCTGGCCCAAATGCCCAAAAAATGTACCTGCATACCTTCTTCTTCCGATTCTTGGTATCTTTAGTGAACTTAAACTGTATACGGGTATCTGGGTTCGCTCTGAGCAATGCTTCCCAAAAACTGGGCAGTTGTTGAAAGTTGCTTTCCCATGTGCCATACAGACTCTCAAGTGCTTTTCTTCGACCATGCCATGCCTTTTTGTAATTGGGGGTGACCCTGTATCTCTTATTTACTTCGACTTGGATCTGCATGACTGAATAACCTGGATCTTTTTGGACATTGGCTGTGATCAATCGAGCAATCATTGTGGACGTCAAGTTTCAAGCTTCGTTTCTTGTGGTTGCACCAAGACAGTTGTGGCTCTCGATCCATACCACCATTCTCCAAGTATTTGTGTCTTTTTGCAGGGTAGCTCGACATTTCCACAAGGAAGTAGTGCTGTGGAGAAGTTCTTCTGGGTACTTCGGCCCTTTAGTCTCGCATTCAGTGGCCCACGTATAGGAACGGCTATATTTTACCCGACATGCCCGACCCTGTTGCAATGACCATTCCCCCACAGCTGTTTGTGCCTCTTTCTTGTTAGCAAAATGTACACCATGTCTAATCGTCTGCCAATTACCGTCCCACATTGTGATCCCATCAGAATCCTCATCTAGTTCAGACTTGTCCATGTCATTGATGTCGTCAAAAATAGAAGGTACTACTGAAGATGCGTCATGGTCACTGTAATCATCATCAGACTCATCGAACGGCACATACTCCTCGTCACTGCTCCCATGTACGTCATCTTCTGTGTCATCGCCATCTTCATTGGTACCACCAACACCACTACTCCCTGCACCATCATACTGACCACCACTAGTTCCTTCCCCAACATCTTGAACAGGTCCATCTGCAACCTCTACGTACAATGTTGGACGCAAATGGGCACCTCGGTAAATCCATGACATTGACTCGTCGTCTCTTATGGGCGCTTGCCCCCTTCTGCCGTACTCATCTGTGCAGACTAAAACATATTACAGAGGAAGTATTTTTGGGTTCTCTGATTCCAACAGCCTTTGTACATAATTATCAAGTTCAGAGAAACACCACACTCAATCGATACGAACTGTTGCATCGGTATAAATAACTTATACCCATCTCCCCAACAAGATCGATCACTAGACCAGAATATATTCAGATCGAAGGGACCCGGAAAAGACATATTAAGGGCCTGCACATTTAATTTTTATTCAATTAAACATACAAATACATCAATTTATGTTTGTTATAACAATATTCTACCTCACTAGTAGTAATTTACTCCAAATCACGGTACAATAAGTCTTATCTTTAGTAAAAAATCTCTAACATAATTTAATAATTCAAAAAATATAATTCGACATCTATATAACAAAGTTTTCAATTAAAAGAAGAACAAATTTTGATCAAACAAATAAATTTAGATTTACACAATGTATTTAGTCAATTAAAACTAAATTTATTCAACAATACATGAATTTAGCACTCAACATTAATGATAAAATATAAAATTAATAGAATAAAAAAAATATAAAATAGGGTCAAATCAATAACATTACAAATGATTGGGTCAGAAAATAAAATTCACAAAATTGAGGGATAAAGACCAAAATTCGAGATCAACCGGGTTATTCTCTAAATTAATAAAATAACTCATAATATTCAACAAAATTCAACAATTCACATCACAAAAATAATTTTTATTCTTCATTCTACATCAAATATATATTTATTTAAGCAAATTTTCTAAAACCAATTCTCAATAACTACCTAAATTATTAAATTTAGTAATTTCGTACACCAAAACACCATAAATAGCGCCAAATAACAATAGAATGTATAAATTTTACAATTTTAATAGAGAAAAAAAACTTACCTAAATGGGTTGCCTCTGTCCTGCTCTCGTTCAGTCCAACCATCCAACCTTCAATCTGAAGAATGCCTCTTTCCTGCTCTGCCTCTTCCACCCGAATGAAAATTTCAACTGAATGCAAGAAGAAAAAAATTGATGGTTTTTAGTTCTGCCGTATCTGGAGTGGTGATGAGTTTTAAATTATGACTCTAGGCATCACATTCGCATTCGCTAAATGCGAACATCTATCTAAATTGTCCGCAATTGTCACGTGTCGATAAGATATCGACCAATCAGATTTTAATAGGATAAAAAGATAATTTCGTATTTTTTATACGCTAAAATTTGTTGTTCGCATTCGTAGATTGCGAAAAGCTTATGATGGCTCACACCTTTTCTCCTCCTTCCGTGTCTGCTTTAATAATTCATATATTAATACATTCACATTTGTCAAATGCGAAATTTGTGTGATGGCCCACACTTTTCTCTTTCCTTCTGTGTCTGCTTTAATAATTCATATATTAATTTGTTCGCATATGTCGAATGTGAAATTTGTGTGATGGCCCACACTTTTTCTCTTTTCTTCCGTGTCTACTTTAATAATTGTTATATTAATTTATTCGCATTTATCGAATGCGAAAACTTGACCGAATAAAATATTTTCTAATCTCTTTTGTTAATATTGTTTGCTTAAGTTGAACTAATTACTTACGTAAATGTCTTCACATATAGGAAATGCGAAAACCAATTTGTTCGTATACTACAAATGCGAGAAACATATAAATTTCTACATATCCAATCCTAAAAACAACGTTTTCTACCAACTAAAATTTGGGGTATATTAATCTCACGTACCCTAAGTTGTTGTATGATACGGATTGAAAATCTGGTTGCGAAAGCCAGCGCACCAAAGTGGCCTAAATTAGATACTACATATTTTACTATTCCTTCACTCTCAAAATTTGTTTGAATCGCTGTACTAAAATAGTGTGCTTTCATTATAAAGACGAATTTCAGTCCAATATGCTTTCCAACTAAATGGCTTTTTTCCCCTATCTTTTTGTACGGAAACTGAGAAGTAGGTATGTGTTGATCAAGTAGTAAGAATGGTGCATTGGATGGCCGAATCAATAGTATATGGACATATTATATGGAAATCCTCAAGAAAATAATCTGAAGGAGTTAAAATAATAGATGGATATCCTTAAAAAAAATATAACAAAATAATTTGGGGGAAAAAAAAAACTCATAATTTCTATCACTATTGTGCATTGGATGGCATAATTAATTGTTTTTTTTGTTTTGAATTTGGAAGAATTAAACTAATATATTGAGATCCTCAAGAAAATATAACAAAATAATTTACGGAAAAAATCCCACATAATTTTCAATTATTATGGTGCATTGTATGGCCTATGAAAATAATCAAAACATATTCATCTTCCAAAATGATTGTTCTTGGAATTATGTAACCAAAACAAGACAATTCTTCGGGAACAAATGGAGTACTAAAATATAAGAAACAAACCGCACTTGCTGTTTCCCATGCCAACAGTGTAGCAATTGGGCTCTCTAAAAGAGAACGACCTGCAGTTCCTTGATCTTCTCATCATATTCATGGACTTCAGCAAGCTCATTCTGCTTAGCATCCAACCATTGAAATGCCTTGTTAACCGCATCCTCAGCCTTTGCTTTGTCCGCAAATGAAAAAGAATTGATTCTACTCCTCATCTGACAAATGTAGTTCTCAAAGTCCATTCGCGCTTGGTACTTCTTCATGTGCTTTTCGTCCTCAGCCTTGTACTTCCTTGCTTCTTCAATCATCATATCAACTTCATCTTTTGTTAGGCTTCCATTTATGATGCTGATGCCTTTCCACGCGCCTGTAACTTTATTGCATAGTGAGACGCTCAAACAGCCATTGGCTTGCAAATCAAAACAGGTCTCAAGTTGAGGAACTCCCCTTTGGGCCGAAGGGATCCCGTCTAGAACAAATTCACCCAACAGATTGTTCTCGGTTGATTTGGCTCTCTCCCCCTCGTACACTTTAATACGTATAGATGATTGGTTATCAAATGCAGTACTGGTATTAGATACTTTTCTTGTAGGAATGGTGGTATTCCTCGGAACCACAACCTGCATTACTTCTCCTACAACTTCAAAGCCTAAAGATATCGGAGTAACTTCCGCAAGCTTGAAGACCTTAACCTTCTCATGGAAATCACCGCTCAAGGTTGCGGCTTGAACAGCTGCGCCGTAAGCAACAGCTTCATCGGGGTTGATGCTTCTGCAAAGCTGCTTTCCATTTAGCAAGTCTTGTAGCATTTCCTGAACCTTTGGAATCCTGCTGGAACCGCCTACCAAGACAACATCATCCAAGGCATTCTTATTTATCTGAGCATCTGCCAAGCATTTCTCGACTATGTCCATGCACTTGATGAATAAATTCGAGTTCAGTTCCTCGAATTTGGGCCTAGAAATACTTGCTGAAAAGTCAATGCCTTGGAACAGGTAATCAATCTCAATTCTGGTGTGACCAGAAGAGGAAAGGATCCTCTTCGCCTTCTCGCAAGCTGTTCTCAGTCTTCTAACCGCTTTAGGGTTTGAACTGATATCTTTTTTGTGCTTCCTCTTGAATTCCTCAATGAAATGGTTGACCATTCGATTGTCGAAATCCTCCCCACCAAGGTGAGTATCGCCACCAGTCGCCTTCACATCAATGTTACCCCTTTTAATGGCAAGAACCGAGACATCAAAAGTACCACCTCCTAGGTCAAAAATAAGCACATTCCTCGTCCCCGTGATGCCAGAACAGTTGGCAAGACCGTATGCGATAGCAGCAGCTGTCGGCTCGTTAATGATGCCCAAAACATTAATTCCCGCAATCTCTGCAGCATCTATAGTTGCCTGACGTTGCAAGATATTGAAATAGGCCGGAACGGTAATGACTGCGCCGTTCACCGTCAAGCCAATGTACGCCTCGGCAATCTGCTTCATCTTAACTAGAACCATGGATGAAATTTCTTCAGCAGAAAAACGTTTCTCCTCGCCTTTATAGGTAACAGATATCATAGGCCTATCACCAACCCCGGGAATCACTTTGAAGGGCCATAGTTTCATGTCACTCTGAACTGATGCCTCACCAAATCTCCTACCTATTAATCTCTTAGCATCTGCCATCAAGGGAAAAAAATGACAGGATCAACATAGTTACTCTGATGTCCCATTCTAATAGTGCACCAGTATTCGCGTCGTGCCAAAAATAGTTCAATTGAGCTTTTCTAAAACCTCGGACTATTTTTTTTTATTTATTTATTTTTTTGGTTAAAGAGGAAATGGAAACAACTTTGACTTATAATAAAGGATGAGTAATATTAAATATATAATATATTTGTGTAAACCTAGAGTGTGTAAATCTTGATTTTTTATTCATGACCCTAGTATTAATCAAGGAACACAATCTGCACATTACATATCAAAAAAAAAAAATTAAAACAAAAATCAAATACATATACTATTAATCCTACATACTGATAAACTAACATAATTCGATAACCTAGAATCAAAAAAATATTCGTAAACAAACTGGGATTTTATGAGTTACCGAAAACGGAGTTGACGGGATTCATGGCAACTTGGTTGAAAGCTGCATCCCCAATATGACGCTCTTCGTCGGTAAAAGCCACATAAGACGGTGTCGTTCTGTTGCCTTGATCATTTACTATGATCTCGACACGGTCGTGTTTCCAGTACCCTACGCAAGAGTAGGTCGTTCCCAGATCGATTCCGATCGCTGGACTCTTGCTTTTTGCACCCATCGTCGTTGTTGAGTTTTTCTTACCGGCAACAAATAATATAGTAATTAATTAGTGGAGCCTAATGAGAGAACTCAACCGTCCTTTTGCAGAGAATTTTCACTAGGGTTTCCCTGTTGATATATCGATATAGTGTTCTACTCAATAATAAGTAGGGTTTTACAAATGCCAAGCTACCAGTCAACTTGGAAGGGGTGATGTTGGGAATCAAAATTGCAAAAGGAGACTATTGTGGTTAAAGAAAGATTCTCGGGGAACTGTATAAAAAATAGGGTTAATATCAAATACACCCTCGAGGTTTGAATGATTAACTAAAACATCCCCAACCTTTGAGTAAATATCAACCATATCCTTTGACCGGTAAAACTCCAAGTCAAATTGCAAAGAGGGTAAAATGACTATGAAACCAAGAAGCTCAGGCCAAACCTTTCAAATACACTTTTACGGCCAGATTCCACCTGCTATATTAATAAAAACTTTAAAACAAAAAAAAGAAAAAAATTTCTTCCTCCTCTTTGTTCTAGGCATCGTCTCTTCATCAGTTGAGGATTCATAATTCCTCATCGCCATTGGATCCTCTTCGTTCCACCTCGTCATCATAGCCATCCGATTCGTCTTTCTTCTATTGTGTCTTCTCCGAATTTATTTGGCTGGCAGACCAAAGGTGACTATAGAAATTAAAAACCTAAAATTTACTCTGAGTTTAAGGCTTCTTGCCGGCGGTATGGTTTGGGTGGTGACGAAAGAGCATGGTGGCTGATTTCTTCTAATGGTACTAGGTTTGCTGTTTTTTCCTTACTCTTTTTGGGAATATGTTATAATGGCGGCTGGGGTTTTAAGGTTTTCTATCATCGTTTTAAGTTTTTATTTCTTGAGAAATGGAGATTTGTATTGTCGATTTAGGAGTGCTCTAATGGCAGTGAAATCTTGGTTTTAATTTTCTTGACGCCTTTAATTTTGTCGATGCCGTGGCCGCTCGGCGGCTCATGTTCACCATTTTGGGTTCTAACTTTTCGCGAGAATGTCTAATATCAGTTGAATATTTTAATCTGCTTATTGTAATTGCAATTCACCTTCGAGCAACTTTGATATTCTTTCTTTCGATTTATAGATGAAACTGGGTTCAGACATATCCATTAGTTTCGCTGAGATTGGTTTTCAATTAGAACAACGGCCAGCTGCCGGGAAAAACGTCCGACCATTTTGTAATATTCCTTCGGGTGCTTGACTTTTGGGTGAGCCAAACCCAAAAGTGTGGAACAAAAAATGTGTAGGGTTTATTTTGTAGACAAATATAATCTTCTCGCGTTTTGAAAACGCGAAACAATCAAATTAGATTAACATTTCGCGTTTCACAAACGCGAATAATGTTAATTCCATGCACTCAGATTCAAACGGGTCGAAAGCAAAAAAAAAAAAGAAAATCGGTTTTCGCGTTTTAGAAACGCGAAAAACGTAAGACGCGTTTGCAAAGCGCGAAACTTTGTTTTCGCCTTTGCAAAGCGCGAAACTTTCTTCTCGCGTTTTCAAAACGCGAGAAACTATTTTCGCGTTTAAAAAATGCGAAAATCTGTAAGTTTAAAAGTGTAAATTTTGCAAATAAGAATTTAGCGTTTTGAAAACGCGAAACAAAATTTCTAGCGTTTTCAAAGCGCGAAAAATAGATTTAGCGTTTTTAAAACGCGAAAATATCCAGAAAATCTCCTCATCCACTCACCCGTCTCCACGTGTATTTTTTATGATAAGTCTGGAATGTATTCGCGTTTGTTAAACGCGAAATTTAAGATTCATATATAAAACAAGCTTTAACAGATTTCTCCGCAAATTTCTTTCATTGTTCAGCTCCGAATTTTCTTTCCAAATTTCTTTCATTCGTTGAACTCCGATTTTAAGTTTTACTCCGGAGGACTTGTCAATTCGTGAAAACTCTCATTTTCTTCAAATTGAGAAGTTGCTCCGAGGTTAAAGAAGATTGATTTGAGTCCTGAAGCCTATTTAAAACTCTAAGTTTTAACATTGAGGTAAGTTTATTTCGTTATTAAAAACATGTACTTTTTATGTTTTATTATGAGCATAGGATGATTTACGCATTATTATTAGTTAATATATAATTGTGATTTAGTCAATTAACGGTGGTTTTTTATTGAGGCTGATAAAGTAAATTGAAAGAAATATTAGTTAATAGAATATTAAATTAGATGAGCATTGTAAATTATTGTACATCGATTTCTGTAAAATAAAATAAAATTATAATAATGATATTGAATTTTGAATATTTACAGCATAAGAATAAATTATGTAATTCGGGCATAAGGTTTAGATTTAATATTAATTTTGAGCATACAAATGAATTTGTAAATTCAGGCGTATAGTTGTTATTTTAAAATTATTAAATCTGTAAACGGGGTAAATACTATGGCCGCAAACCGATTTCGTAGGAATTGATTTTGCAGCCGCAAATGTCTTTCACGGAGACAGTTAAATGCAAATTATCTGGAATACTACTTATACAATCTGAACTGATGGGACTATCACGGTACAGCGGGATGCGCCTGGACGGTTATCTTATCATTGATCGTATGTTAGATTTCTCGGAACTTGTTGATAAGGTATTAAGTGTGATCGAGTTGATAGAGAAGGGCTTTATATTGATTTTTCTTTGGTATGGACGGAGAGGTCGGGAAAAGGTCTCGTGTGCACATTAATGATGATAATATCTGTTCGGTTCATTTATCTTTGTGCTGATAAATGGCCGAATTGTACCACTGAAAAGTTGAGAGAACAGGCCATGTTTATGCAAGTACATCGGCGGGATATTGGTGCCGCACTAGTGGTGGTAGAACAGTTGAAGACAATGAAGATGGAGATGAAGATGGAGATGAAGATAAAGATGAAGATAAAGATGAAGATAAAGATGAAGATGCAGATGAAGATGAAGATGTCGGGGGTGTCGAAAGCAGTGATGATGAGTACGTCCCATCGATGAGGACTCAGATGACGACACTGATTTTGAGTCATCTTCTTCAGTCCCATATGTTTTCGACGACATAAGTGGATGGGACAAGACTTTAGAGGAAGTAGAAAACGATGGAATTAAAATGTGGGATGGCAATCCGTTGACGCTAGGCCTTGATATACATTTCGCCAACAAGCCCGAGGCACAAGCGGCGGTGGGAGAATGGAACTTGGTACATGGTCGGACTTTCCGGTGAAAACGAGCTCTAAACGAACATGGTATGTCGAATGCGAGACGTGTGGACCTAAATATCCGAAAGAGCGCCTTCACGGCTATGATTGTCTGTGGAAGGCGCGAGTTTCGCTACAGAAGGCCACCGATACTTGGAAAATGGTGGTATGGTCCGATTCCCACAACTGTCTTGGGGCAAACAAGAGAAACGAGTCCCGAAATGTCACGTCTTCTATGATTGCTAGACTGGTTGCCCAAAATGTGCGAAAACATCCAGATTTTGCAGTTGCCCAAATTCAAATAGAAGTGATGAAGAGGTACCAAGTCAAATGTAGCTACAAGAAGGCATGGCATGGTAGAAGAAAAGCACTTGAGGCTCTGTATGGTACATGGGAAAGTAATTTTCAACAATTGCCCAGCTTCCTCAATGCATTGTTCATGTCAAACCCGGACACTTGTGTGCAATTCAAGTTTAAGGAAAATTCAGGAAGCTCACAAAGGTTTGTATGTAGGTATGTTTTCTGGGCATTTGGGCCATCTATACGCTTATTTCATGCTTGTTGGCCAGTAATAACCATCGATGCCACTCACCTGCGAGGATCCTACAAAGGAAAACTAATTGTGGCATGCGTAAAGTGCGCAAATGGCACGATTGTTCCCATCGCATTTGCTCTTGTGGACGAAGAGACTATACACAGCTGGAAATGGTTTTTGAAGTATTTGAAAAGTTTGTTCTACGGGATAGGAAGACTGTATTATCTCCGATCGAAATCGGGGTATCCTTCGCCATGGACATCATGTTGCAAAAATTCCCAGAGATGGGCGTCCACCGTTATTGTCTAGAGCATGTTAAAGCAAACTTGGTTGGGCATTTTCGAAAGGAGAAACTGCGAGGCAAGCTGTCAAATGATTGGTTCAATGACGCAAAAGACAAGGTTCTTGGCGAGTGGCAAAAATTAGAAGAAAAATGAGCTCTGCTGCTCGTTGGCTTGAAGTGGGTGTTGAGAAATGGACATGTTTACACGATGGAGGGCATCGTTGGGAGAAATGACCACTAACATCTCGAGAGTTTCAATAATGTCTGAAAGGTGCTAGATTCTTCCCGATCACAGCATTGATCCTAGCATCATTTCAGAAAAGCAACAATCTGTTTCAGGCAAACATTGATATGATCCAAAAATGTCAGACTGTTCTACCTCCTACTCCAATGAAACTGTATGAAGAGGCCCGGAAGAAATCATTGAGGCAAAAGGTCAACCGGTTTAGCAAGAGAAACCAGAAGTACGAAGTGGTTACAATAGCACCTGATAATCAACCATGGAAGGCTGACGAGAAGCAAGTTGTGTTGTATGCAAATCGAGAGTGCACTTGCGGAAGGTGGCAGACTTTCAGATTTCCTTGTTCCCATGCACTTCGAGTTGCCCGTGAGCTAGGTGACGATCCCTTCCCACTTTTTGATCCATGTTACACTACGCATCAATGGTACCAACAGTTTTCTGGAGAATTCAACCCAATCATGGAACCATGGCCAAAGGCAACGTGGCAGATCAGGCCAGATGACACTAAACTTGTCCACCATGCTGGCCGAGGTCGGAAGCGTGTGAATCGGAAAAAAGGTGTGATGGATTATACAAGCAAATCGGCGGCGAAGACTTCAAACTTGCGGTTTATGTAAGCTACAAGGCCATAATGCCAGGGCTTGCCCATATGCGAGAGTTTGCGCACGATGTGGAAGTTTAGATCATGATGCTGTGGAATGCCCTTTTTCTCATCCACCTGCTGACAGGACCGCTATTGATAAACTGTACGATCCATATGGAATTCATGGTGTGCCTAATATCGATTCGATGATGATGATGATGCGTAGTGATGATTTTCCTCATCGTCATTGTGATGATTCTGTTAGTGTTCGTATTTTTGTGTTGTTTTGAACATTCATGTAGTAAACCTTAGAGGATGAATCAGTTTGCGTTTGTATTTGTGTTAGTGTGTTGGTTTAGATGTTTCTGTAATTTATATTAGTATTATTTTTGAAAAAAAAACGTCACTGTTCATTTTAGTAATATTACTAATTATTACTATAGTGGTAGAGTGATATGATATATACATGTCGAATAAAGCACTAATTATGTAATAAACACTAAAGGGTAAGAAAATTAATTATTTGTTTATTCATCACCGCAATAAACAGAACCATATATCCGGCCTAAAAATCAGACGTTTTTTTTTAGTTATACCCCAATAATCGCGTTTCTGAAACGCGAAAAAAGACAAGGTGGACATTGTTTTCGCGTTTCTGAAACGCAAAATAAGGGAGAGGAGACGTTTCGCGTTTCTGAAACGCGAGTTTTGGGTATTAATCCGATTCGCGTTTCGGAAACGCGAAAATAGGGGGTTAAATAAATTTTTCGCGTTTCGGGTTGATGTTTCTCAAACAGAACCATATATCCGGCGTACTCCATTGAAACCGGCGGTTTTTCCGGGAGAGTTGCCGGAATCGAGTTTCGGCATCAATTTTTTGCAGTTTTTAGGCTATATATCGAGGTAAGTTGCATTTTTTGCTCTCATTGAATCGTTTTTTTTAATTCATGTTTTAATTTTCGATTCATATATTTTGTGTTCGTTTTATTTGTAATTTTATTTAGCGATTTAATACTCCGTTAATAGATCTAGTATTATAGGTGTTGTAATTGTGGAATTTTGTGTTCATTTTTTGTTGTATACTCCGTTATATTTTGTGTTCATTTTTTGTTGTATAGAGGAGGGGGCGGGGAAGGAAGGGGAGGGGAGGCGGGCGGCGGGGAAGGAAGGAGAGGGGCGGGCGGCGGGGAAGGAAGGAGAGGGGCGGGCGGCGGGGAAGGAAGGGGGGAGGCGGGCGGCCGGGAAGGAAGGAGAGGGGGCGGGCGGCGGGCGGGGCGAAGGAAGGGGAAGGGGGCGGCGGGCGGCGGGGAAGGAATGGGAGGGGCGGCGGGGGGAAGGAAGAGCTTAGGGAGTTTAGGGTTTGGGGGAGTTTAGGGTTTGTTGGGGTGTTGGGCTTAGGGATTTTAGGGTTTGGGGGATTGGGTTGGGTTTAGAATGTGGGTTTTGGGTTGAAGATTGGGTTGGGTTTAGAGGAGTGGGTTTTGGGTTGGGGATTGGGTTGGGTTTAGAGGAGTGGGTTTAGGATAATAAAATTTAGTGTTGAAATTTTTAATGTATAGGATAATTAGATTAGAATAATAATATTAATCTATATTTACTAAAATATAGGGTTGGAATTTTTAATGTATAGGATAATTAGAAAAGAATAATAATATTAATCCGTATTTACTAAAATGTAGGGTTGGAATTTTTAATGTATAGGATAATTAGTTGCCGGAATAATAATATTAATCCGTATTTACTAAAATGTAGGGTTGGAATTTTTAATGTATAGGATAATTAGAAAAGAATAATAATATTAATCCGTATTTACTAAAATGTAGGGTTGAAATATTTAATAAAAGAATAATTAGATTAGAATAATAATATTAATCTGTATTTACTAAAATGTAGGGTTAAAATATTTAATAAAAGAATAATTAGATTAGAATAATAATATTAATCCGTATTTACTAAAATGTAGGGTTGGAATTTTTAATGTATAGGATAATTAGAAAAGAATAATAATATTAATCCGTATTTACTAAAATGTAGGGTTGGAATTTTTAATGTATAGGATAATTAGTTGCCAGAATAATAATATTAATCCGTATTTACTAAAATGTAGGGTTGAAATATTTAATAAAAGAATAATTAGATTAGAATAATAATATTAATCTGTATTTACTAAAATGTAGGGTTAAAATATTTAATAAAAGAATAATTAGATTAGAATAATAATATTAATCTGTATTTACTAAAATGTAGGTTTGAAATTTTTAATGTATAGGATAATTAGATTAGAATAATAATATTAATCTGTATTTACTAAAATGTAGGGTTAAAATATTTAATAAAAGAATAATTAGATTAGAATAAAAAAGAATAATAATATTAATCCGTACTTACTAAAACTATTTGTAAATTGTACTAGCCATGGACATTGGATCATCTTCTTCCTCCCAATCTACCTCAAAGAAGCTACGGCAGGGACCCAGAGACAGTAGTTTGTTGTTTCTCCAAAACGCCCATAGGTCACACAATATATTCCATGGTGCACAGTATGATATAGGGATTTCGGAGCCCAGGCGTGTAGATAGCGCCGCGTGGAAATTAATAAAAGATGCACCGAGGTTGACAAAGGAATATATTGAGAAATTTGGTTTTGGACCGTTCTCTAGAGTTGGGTCCATCAGATGTGACCATGCCCTGCTTACAGCTCTTGTGGAGCGATGGCGCCCAGAGACCCATACATTTCATTTACCTTTTGGGGAGGCTACCATCACACTCCAGGACGTCGAGGTTCTTTTGGGCCTTCGGGTTGATGGACGTCCGATTCAGGACATCACACCACGCCCGATGGTGGTTGGGCAGCCTATTTGGAGAGGATGTTTGGATTTAGGTTCCAGACAGAGGAGTCTAGATTGACGAGTGTTTCCATCATGAAATAAAGACTCACATAGAGAATAATCCTTTGACGGACTGTCCCCCGACGATGCACACCTACAATGAGCCCGTTGTTTTGTTGGATGGCTCGTTGGCGGATTCTTGTTCTCAAACACTACGAGAAACAGTTTTCCTCTCGATCTTGTGCATTTTCTTCATACTCCCGAGATTTGCTCGGAGTACGATTGGGGTAGTGCGGCACTATGTTACTTGTACCGCAAAGATGTCCAGTCATCTCGGCCGCTTCGCCAAGGCTATTACCGGTGTGTGATTCTTCTTCGGTATTTTATCTTTTCATTTCTCTCTAGTTTCATTTTATATTCTCCCATTATTATTGGTGATTTTAGCTAATAATTTCTTCATTCGAATTAGCTCGGGCACGGGAGCGGATTTTGACGGTTCACCCAAGATATGGGGTAGGGATCTCGATCTATCCGATTGTCCATTGGGCACGAGGTAATCTTATACATCAAACCTTCGTAAATTTTGACATTTTGATTTGTACTGTCATGTCTCAATTTAATGTTACTTTCTTCGTGCAGGTGGTCCCGCGAGAAAAAAGTTCAAGGTATCACGCGGTTCAATTTGGCCGCGTATCGGGATCAGCTTGCAGTTCTCGCAGAGTCGATGTTAGTATTCTATTCAATTAGTATAACTTATGTTTTATTCGTTTTTTTAACGGTGTCGAACTTTTAATTACACGTCTCTTACTTAATTACCATTGCGGTTTGTCCGGATGCCGTACACGACTCTTTTGGGTCGTATTGCCGTGGTTTGTCTTGTGGGACAGGCATATAGCGATCTCGGACATGGCTCATCTGCGGTGATGTCGTTGCGCCACACAACCCCAGTAGGGTATTTCGCCAATTTGGTTATCACCGGCGGATACCCGCGACGCATTACTTCTCACTGCGGCGGAAATTACTAGCTCGCTCAAGAGGAAGCCGTTTGGAGGATCCGATAGGAGATGGTTACAACAACTAGGGATATATCTCCAGGTTTGGAATGATCGCCACGGCCAAGTTGTGGGGACTGATGATCTTTATGTTGGCGAGCCTTCCGCAGATCCGGAGTATCTCTTGTGGTACCATCAGGTTACTGTGAAGTATGTTACGGATCCGACGGACTCTGAAAATGCGAGGGGTTTTCACGGTTCTGCAGAGACCTTGCGCCTCATGGTGAGTATTTCGCCTACAGTCCATTTGGTTCTTTTTATTAACACTGTTGTCGATTTATGATTCTTTCTAATAAAAATTTCAGGCCACATTGATGGAGGACGTTCGTAGTCTGAGTATTATAGGCCAGCGTACTTTCGACGCGGAATCCTTTGGTTATGATCGCTTAGGCGAGATTGCCCAGGTTGCTGAGCGGGCGTTGTCCGTCAATGCAACAAATGTTGTACGGCACGATCTCGATAGGCATGTTGAGGTTCATGACATTTTGAGTCAAGAACTTGCACTGTAGACCCGACCCAAGAACATCCACCACCTGGACCTCCGAGGCGTTCGCGCAGTCTCGGCGTGGGCGTGGGGGCAGAGACAATCACAACATCTCAGCCACATCAGTCCTCCCAAGCATGAGCAGTCTCATATTCCCTTCACTGGCGGTTCATCCCATCGGTCTCCACATCGATCTCCACTCCATTCTCGACAGCATTCAGCCCATCGGTCTCCACATCATTCATCCCATCGGTCTCCACATCATACTTCGCCGACCCATCGTGCGTTTTACCGTCCGATTATGTCTCCCAGCACACAGCAGTCAATTTTTCCTTCACTCGCTTTTCCTCCTCGGACTTCTCGGGTCGGTTTGGAGATTCTTTTATTGACTTTTCCGGGTTTCAGAGAGTTCGCTAGATGGCCAGTCGATACATTACACGAGTAACTTTCTTTCGAGTATGTTCGAGGGTGTTGCGGTCGACATCAGTGATAACCCAGCTGAGGGTGAGCGTGAGAGTCAGGGTGAGGATGAGGCTGAGGATGAGGCTGAGGATGAGGATGAGGATGAGGCTGAGGATGCAGACCAGGATGATCAGTTTGAGGGTCAGGGTTATCAGGGATCGAGTCAGACTCTAGGGACTCCACCGTTGGCTGTGAGTAAAGGCCAGAGAGTGACGAAGGAGCCCGATAGATTGACTTATAGCCTTTTTCGGGCTAAAAAGCCCAAGAAGAAGTAGGGTACTAGACTTCTTATGTAGTATTATTAGACTTGTATTTTTTTTTCCCTTTTGTTCATTTCTGTTTTTTTTTCCTTTTGTTATGACTTGTTTTATTTTTTTTTACCTTTTGTTATGACTTGTAGTATTTTGTTATGACTTGTATTAATATTCTTAATAGTTTGATTTCACCTGCATCGTAAATACAATAATTAATATTTATAAAACACATCTTCGCCGATCAAATCGAAACACATATTTAAACTTTCTTATATTTTTTTTCATAATTAATAGTTGCTTCATCTTAAGTGTTGGTAAATTAAAATAAATATTTAATAAAATTTATTCTTATTTTAAGCTTTTTTCTTATATTAAAACCATCATAATTAATAAAATTAATTTGTAAGTTAAATTACATCTCATTAAATCCATAAAATTACGTCATTATCATTATTGAAAAATTTTCATATAAAATTATTTTTTAAAATAATGATTACATTTTTAATAAAAATTTTTAATATAATCATTATTAATTTTTTTTATATAATGTTTTAAAAAATTAATACATTATAATAACTATATCATACTTTTAATAATTTATATTTAGTATAGCTCTATTTTATTTAATGAGTATCAATTATAATATTATATTCTTATTCAAAATTTAATTTTCGTATTATTAAAATTATCAATATAATTTTCCTCTTTATAGCTCTATTCAAAATTTAATGATTAACAGTTATAATTTTCAAATTTTCTGTTACCATTATTCAAATTTAATAATTTTTTGAAGTCAATTTCCCTATAACGTTTTAAACTAGTCAAATTAATCATATTTTTATGCCTATTTCTTTTTTTATTAAATAAAATGTTTTTTTAATTGATTTCGCGTTTTCAAAACGCGAAATCTTATTGATTCAAGTTAATTAATTAGGATTATGTTAAATTAATTTTTTCTCCTTCTTTTTCGCGTTTCAGAAACGCGAAAAGTATACATTCGCGTTTTGAAAACGCGATTTTGTGTTTTTAGCGTTTTCAAAACGCGGGTTTTGATTTTTTCGCGTTTCTGAAGCGCGAGAAAACTATTTTTGGCCACAATTTAAACCCTAAACATATTTTGTTCTTCATTTTTTTTTCAGTTACTAATAAGTAAATTTTCCTATTCCTTTTGGGATGTATTTTTAAACGAACAAGGGTAAATGAGTCTTAACACTTCATTTTTTTGGCTGGCATCATAGCTACATTCACTTCGGTTTGGTCGTTTCGGGTAAAATTCGGTTCGGATTAATCGAATTTTTTTCTCACGAAACCCGCCCGAAACCGAACTGCAAACTACACTAAACCGAACCGCACCGACCGATTAAGAGTTTGGGTTATTCGGATTCGGTTTTCGGGTAACCGAATTTAACCACACGAAAGAAAATACTTTTTCTTTTTTTTTCTCAAATTCAATCCAGATTCAACACTTAGTATCATCTTCCAAAATTCACAAGCATCCCAGGTTGATTCAGCAAGAAAGTCAAAATCTATCAAAATCGCATATTCAAAAATTTAAAAACTCATGCTTGAGATTAAAAATAATAGTTTTCAGCAAACCCACAACAGAAAATTAATATGGGGATCGAGAATTTGAACAATTAATTTAATTCAATCCAAAGTTCAAATTGAATTCAATCAAAAGTTCAAAATTCAATGCAAATGAACAAAGAAAGGGAAGGGGATCGAGAGAGTGATTGAACGCCGGTAGATCTCATCTTTCACCATTAGCAGGGATACTTCCGGCAAAATTCGCGATTTGATTCTTTCCTAAGGGCAGCCGACCACACGCTGAGGCGGAGCTTTCTTGCCACAAGACTGAATCGCCGACGTCAAAATGAAGACCCCTCTCTGTGTATTACCGAGATTTGCAGATTATGGAAGAAGGGATGAAACCAATTTGATGATTTAGAGAGGAATAAGAGGAGAAGAATTGAAGAAATTCAGAAAATATGAGTTGAGGGAGATCAGAAAGAATTAGGAAATTTGGAGGTAGAGGGTGTGCGGCGGTCAACGAAGAACAAAGAGGAAAATAGAAACGATTGGAAAATTTGGTAGGGTTTAGACATTTAGTAATAATTTTAATTTATATATATTAAAAAATTATTAATAGTTCCGGTTTTCGGGCGTGACCGAACTATTTTTTTCCCGCTCGCACCCAAACGGGATCAGTTATGCGGTTAATTGGATAGGCCCGAAAATCCCAAATTCACCCGATTAACCGACCCGTTCGGCCCAAAATGGGTTCGGTTCGGGCGAATTTTTGGGTCCACCCGACTAACTGACAGCCCTTAGAATTACTTTGATAATTGACCTGCCGGTCAAGGGATGTACTTGATATTTTTAAGGGAAATGATATTGCCACTACAACTTTTAGCATCCAGTGCAATTTTTCATTCACTTCTCAAAATTACCCCTAATCAAAGTCAAAACTCAAAACAACTTATCTTCGTCTCCCCTGATCTCTCGCTCAAAATCTTCTCTCCTTCCCACCGTGGCATCATCCTTTTCTACTCCACTAGAATACCGCCGGCATCGTTTCGTTCTTTGCGACTTATTACTGCTCGGTAGGGTTCGCTTTAAAGTCCAATTTGAAAAGTTTTAGCCTGTCCTCCGCAGATCATAACTGAGAGAGTAAAGATTAATTTCTGTTTGTATTTGATTAGGTAAGCATTTTTTCTGGAATTTGACTAATACTCCATTGATGGGTGAAATCAGTTCTCAAATATTTCAATTACCGGAGTTGGATATTTGAGTCAATCGCAGTTTGTAGGATTGTGTGACATTGGCCATAATAATTTTTGGTTTTACTACGATTGATAGCCAGAGAGCTTATCGAGTCCAACTAATTAAGGGGCCAACATGAGAGGATGAATAATAAGAAGCAAGAAAGGAATGTGAAGATAAAAAAGAATATCTGATAAAAGCTAGCACTAAGGAATTTGAGAGAGAAAAGGAAGCAAGAGAAATTAAAATTGGAGAACTCACGAGTGAGTTTGCAAAACTTTGTGAAGTGACGGAGGAACGAGTTCAAATGAAACTTTTAGAAGGGAAGTCTCCGTCCCGAAGTGATTGAAGCATTGGCAAAGCTCATGTTTAAGCTTGACTGAAATTACATCTTCCTGCAATCTAGCTAGTGGCACAAGGCCCAAGTCCCAACAATGAGCAACTTGGAAAGATGCAACACCTCTACTAGCTTGGATGCCAACAACGTGATAAACCTCGCATCATTTGGGGCAGTTGGAATGCACAACAAAAAGCGCTTCTCGCACTATTACAATTCAACAAGAAAATCCACCTGTTTATTAAAACCAAATATTGACATCCACCGTACAATAAAAATATCTCGTCATAGGAACCTAAATCTTAAAAAAAAAAAAAAGGAGATTGGGACAAACCATCTCTCACGAAATTCTCAGGAATCCCAAGAAAAACAAAGATCTTCTTTTTTTCAATGCAAATGGATATCCGTGTGAGAAACATTTGAAGAGAATGGCGAGGAAAGAGAAGTATGTGAGTGAAAGATCAGGTAAGCGGAAGATAAGCAGATTGACTTTAATAAGGGTTAATTTTGGAAAACAAAGAAAAGATTGCACTGGATGCTAGAATTTATTGTGGCAAAATCACATGCCTATATCTAATATATATAACGTAATACTCCTATATATGTCCCAATCCTATTCACAATAGGAATAAGGTAGTGATTTTGGCAGCTTAAGGTCTTCAGACAGGTTATAGCTAGGAAATAAAATAATATTGGAAAAACTTCATCCATTTATTTCGATTTCTTCCAATGTAGGGTTTTTTTTATATGGATTCGAAGGAGTGACAAGAAAAGATAACCTATCAAGTATCAATTAAGTCAAGACATATTTTGTAACACTCTTGTAGTACACTTGAAATCATTGTTGAAAGTACTAGCAAATAAAAATCCCAAGAATCAGCAGCATTAGGGAAGAATGGCAATTATAATGTATCATTTGTTCGGGACGATCTAATTCTGCCTTTCAATTGAAGTTCTATATTTAATTGAGGTTGTTTTTGTCATTTAAGATTAGTAGAGATTAGGGTTCAATTTATTTAATTTTATTATTTGTATTTGAAGGCCATGGCTGCCACATTATTTTATTCTATTAAAAAAATCCGTCCCACTACACTCCACTTAAATGTGAGCAAAAACCCCTACATAGTTCTTGGTGGGAAATGAATCCATGTCTAATATCAAAAAACACAATATTTTAAACATTAGGTTGTTATCCAATTTCTAGGCGATAGTTGCGACATTTTACGATTGTTTGTGATATTTTAATAAAATGAGAGTTGATCTCTTTCCAAATTTTGATGTCTTTTTTCTTGGTATTCTAAGAATTAACGGATCTAGAGAGCTTCTAAAAATACTATTGGTACAGTTAACGGTTTTAGGAGAGATTATCGATTACTTTCGTTCGATTCGTGCAATTAATAATATTTCCCATGTCAGTTGGTTTCAGAGACAAGTTCGTTTATAGTGGTTCCTCGGCAAAGTAGAGAGTCATTATGGATTTATTTTTTTTGTTAGTTGTTTATCGGATAGTGTTATTCCGTATGGTTTAATTGATTTGTGATTGATAAAAAGCTGTGACCACGGTGGTGAGATTACTTTTAGGACTTGTGGTATATCGTCGACTTGAATTGATCCAATTGATTCATCTTGGTACAAATCCAAACTCCGAAGGCTTCAGCTACGTCACTAAGTCAAATAGCATTAGCCCCTTTCTCTTGATTCCTTCTTCACCCATGTATTAAATTTTGTCAATGTGTGTGACACCAAGACCCTAAAAAAAGAGGGCCCCTGGAGCTCTCCTCTTAGTGTATTTTATTCTTCCACACGTATGGAGGAAATTCCAAAAAACTACATCTAGTAGTCTCTAATGCATGTCCTTAGCTTTAGACTATTAAACTTGGTTAGAAACTGTTTAGCTTGTCATATTTGTATCATCTACAAAGGTACATTTAAATATAATTAAAAAAAAATCGAAACTGCCCCTATTCTAAACTTGGTTAGACACTCCCAAATTCTTCCAGATGTTTCCCTTCAAAAGCATCTTGATAAAAAAAAAAAATTTTAACAAAAACAAATCGCTTCATGCGAAAAAGAGTAATACAGAGCGCATCAAATTTTGTCCTAAACTCCTAATTCAGAAAAAATTAGACCATTTAAATAAAGTAAGCTATTAAGTACATCCATCATCCAACAGGTTTTCCTCAAACAATAGGATTAAGTACGCTGCCCATGAATAGAACCACCCCACTCTTTTCTTCTTTGATGAAGAAAACGAATGGATGATCAGCAACGAAGTCTACTATCTTCTTTGGCCTAGGAGGAGGTGTATCGTCAGTATACTGCACCACAGCAACGGTTGCACCAGTAGCTTCTGTTCCTTGTGGAAAACTCGGGGCTCGGGAGGAGGGAAAATCAAGCCCGTATTCTTTAGAATCTCTGTGGCCTCAAATCCAAAGGATATGTTGAACTTTGGAATCAGAAAACGGTCAACTTGGACAGGCAAATAGGCCGTCTTGTGACGCTCTAAGAATTCATGATCCGAACTAATTTTGTCCACCAAACCCGACAACCCATCTACGGCATTGGGGAGATATATGTACATGGAGAAGTGTCTATTCCTATCGTTTCCGTGTCTGTATTCAAAGCACATCGCTTTGAAACCGTCATATTCACTTACACGTTGATCATTCTTGCTGGTCATGAACTCAGCTTTGATTTTCTCGCCATTTAAAAGGTAAAAGTCGCGCTCTTTTGTCAACGACGTGTTGAACTTGGATTCCCATACTCCGTTGAAATAGAGAGCGTTTGCGAGAATCAACCTTGTGTATTTATCAACAATGTCATGTGGAAGAATGTTATTTACAAGTCCTTTTGTTTCGTTTCCAACCCATTCGTTCACTTCTCGAGTCACCTTGTCGACCTGCAAATACACGTGTCGTTATCATATGGATTTTTTTAGTTTCGAAAATCAGTAGTACCATACAAATACAAATGATTTAATTAAACTCACCGAGTTTACAAAATCGGCTAGATGAAATTGAGCTTTATAAACACTTTGCAAAATGTTAGGGTAATCAGGATGCGGAGGCGAATTGCTCCAAATCCCATTAGCAGTTGACAAGATAGGGCCGCCCGTGAGGCTGTCGTCGAGCAGTATAAAATTGACAAACAAAGAACAAACGTAATTGAGTTCATCAATGGAGTTAGACTTGAGGTAAGAGAGGATTCCGTCTCGCATCGGGTTATTGGACTCGGCTGCCATCATGCCCAGTACAACGTGGAAGGTCAACGGCGAGAATATAGAGTTGACATTGTTCTCAACCTTGTGTTTCCCTAGGATCATCGGCTTTGCCAATTTCAGTAAAAGTTGGTTTTTATTTTGGTAGTTGCGGAGGTAGTTTGAGTACTCGTAATGCTTATTGTTGAAAGAATTTTTGTAGTTGCGGAGGTAGTCTGAGTACTCGTAATACGTAATCAATTAAATTAAACCTGGAAACAATGAGCAAAATAAAACTAGTTATTTGGAGACATACGATAACTACACAATAACTCTATTCAATCATCAAACAGATTCAGAAAAGCAATCTATCTATATCAGAAAACCAATTATTGCCAAAAAAAATTCTAAGTGTATTTCTCATACCAAATTAACTGAGCACAAATTAATTAAGGAAACTGTCTTCCCACGTTCACAAATAATAAGAAACGCGAAAAACTGAGATTAGTTTCAAACATCAATCGTCCCTCTTCTTCTGCGGACGATCAGAAGTGGCGAATTCCGATAACAAGGAGCATCAACGACCGTAGAATGCAAAGCAGGCGGCAAACCAAACTTCATAGTTCATACGACATATACATGTAATTTCCTTTTTTCACTCTTCATACATATTGAATTGATTTCACGAGAAGTAATCAATTAATTAACTCCGAGAACAGTTAGCAATAAAAATCTAGGTTGTATAGAGGCGTTTCTACTACACTAATAAAAACAAACTCTTATTGATCAACTCAACAGAATCAAAAACCAATTGTTTGATAATCAAATAAACAAAACGAATTGAAAAACAAAACGTGGTCAGTGAAGCCACAAGTTTTAAATCGTGTTATTAATACGACAAAACAAATACTGATCCCCCGTTCCCAGAAAAATAGTCAAGCTGTCACCTTTCACTTTGTGACGAAGCTTTACGTAGTCTTCCGGTGGACAGCTATTAGGGCTTCTTGTTTTTTCTTCTTGGCACCACCCTATTTAGAGAGAAGACTTGAACCACCTAATGCCATTGTAGTAGAATTCCAATTCTGCCCCATAACAACCAACTATAAGATTTTCCAGTTTCATGTGGAAAAATAAAATAAACTTTCTTAATTACCAAAAATTTTAAGTTTATTTCGCAAAGAGTCCATCCACTTTCATTCCTCTATAATAGGGACTCCTATTTCATTTTGACCGTGTGAGATGCTGTTTTTCTTTTCCTTCTTCTTCTTCTTTGTTTTCTTTTTTTTTTTCCCGCTCTGTTTTGGCGAGTAAAATTTAGCTTTCATCCAGAAATAGTGTGGCAAGTATGTGATAAATGAGTGGAATAACCTTATGGACTAAGGACTTTGGAGATTGATGATTATTAAGGTCTTATTCAAATGCTCCATTGACAAGATTCGCTGAACAATCCAAACGAACGCTAAATTCATTAAAACAATCCAAATTATAAAGATGCAGGCTAGCTCCGTTGAAGATGATCAGGTTTCCCTATAGTTTCCTACTGATCAAAAGAATCTTTACATTCTACGATCTCAAATGGAAAATATTACAATTTTTCTCACAAGAGGATACATGATCCGTTCGTGATCATATTAATTTTTGTTAAAATTTTGATGAACTAAATATATAGTTATTCATAACGAGAAGGATTGTCCCATATGCATAATGTGTTACTCCTTCCGTTCAATAAAAGAAGTCTACCATGTAAATCGCACATTGTATTAATGTTTACTGTTTAATATCAACATTGAGCAATTGTATTACAACATTTACTGTTTAATATCAACATTGAGCTTATAATACGCTTTCTTTTGGAAAAACCATTTAACTTTTAGAGTAATGATATTCTTCTGTACTTTTAAAACTCTACTTATAACTCTACCTACATGTCAATCCTAATTGGCACATCCACATTATCACCTCATAAATTTATAATAATATTTATTAAAAAAATAAACATCAATATTTGTTCTTCGTCAAATTTCTTCCGTCGGAGAATAGAAATTTCTCTCTTTCCTCAACCACGATGACATCTCTATTGCTCGGAAGAAATTACGATTTTTCATCATAAATCTTCACAATCAAAAGCTGATCCTTTGCCGGTGATGCGGCCTCCGAAACATCCAAGAACCATAAAAACGTAGCGGTTATTGGAGATTTGGGGAGCAATTCTCTACAATAGCCGAAAGGATATGCGCTGGACATCCAAAGCCCTTATGGGAAATTGTAAAATTCTATATGAATTATTGGATTTTGCTCATGAATTCTACAAGGACACTCAAGGATAGATCACTGCTAAATATAGCTGCGATATTTCTAGGAAAAAATTAACTCGAAAAAGAATCTCATCATCCCCTACAAATGAAGTCCCTTACACCATCAACCCTGCGATGCCTTCGGCGCCCGCCATAAAGGCATCAATATAAAGGGCTCATGATAAAATTGTCTGATAAAAAAAACCTCTATATGTTTAGAAAGGGGCTCATGTTGTCAAATTTGCAAGTTCGTCATTGATAGCAATTGCTTGGCTTAATTCAATTTCAAAGTTCGCAAGATAAACAGGTCAGAAATTGGCCTAAAATCGATGCGGCCTCTGGAACTCTCTCAAACCCTTTTCACACAAGTTGTATCAGTTCGCAGATCAGTGCCCATAGATAACCACTGGCCCGTCGTATTTGGTACGAACAAGAAGCTTAAATTATCAAAGTTGATAGTGACAACGATGAAACCACCGAGTGAAAGGTCAACTTTTCGATTCGGCGATGACAAAGGGTCCGTTTTCGATTGTGAAAATTTGTGATGAAGAGGAATAGAGATTGGCATCGTTGAGGAGAGAGAAGAATTTCTCCAGCCGAAGAAATTGGACGATGAACGAAGGGTTTTATTTTTTTTAAAAAAAAATACTTCCTCCGTCCCATAATTATTGTCCAATTTTACTAAAATGAAAGATTTTATTTTTGGTCAAACTTAATTATATTTTACCTTAAACAACCGGATATACCCCTACATAAGTAATTGTTTAACCACTAAGATTTTGTGGATAATGTTTTTTACTAAGGACAAATGTGTAACTTCATCCATAAAAAGTCAAATTGGACAATAATTTTGGGACAAAATTTTTTGGGCAAAGTGGACAATAATTATGGGACGGAGGGAGTATATAAATGTAAAAATATGAGATGATGATGTAGATGTGCCAATTAGGATAGTCATGTAGGTTGAGTTACAAGTAGAGTTAAAATAGTAAAAAAGAACATTATTACTCTTAACGTTATTTCAATCTTCCAAGTTCCAATAATACGCTGATTTCATGCTACGTCTCTGTTTTAGCAGCAATTGCAAAACATATATATATGAACCCGATAAATAGAAAACCTACAATTCAATCAAATTTGTATTGCATGCCCTCAAAGAAATTAATGAAAACATAACACTACCGTATATAGGGAGTGTGTCATCGAATCCTTGGAACGATAAAAAAGAATGTATAGCAATAAAATTATTTTAGTAAACCAACGATGATTAATTTGAGGATGATGAAGACGAGAGTAATAGAATATAAGTTGTGCCCATGACGTGGTCCGATATGTTTCCCGCTACTTAGAATTGAGCACATTGTCCACCTAGGGGCACCACCACGCATTCCGATACTACGTCATACGTGTCTAAATGAGTCAGCACAAATTGGAAACAACGAAGGGCTTCAGTTAGTGACAATGATTTACCTTTTATCAATGACAGTAAAATACTTCCAAAAAAAATTAATTTATGTTAGGTACCCAAGTATATATATTAGTTTTTCTTTTCTTTGCTTGCTTCGATTACATATTTTTCTATTGATAGCCCCGTTTTTGTGCCGCAAGGAATTACCAAACAAGAAAACTGTTATGTACAATAATAATAAATGACAATAAACGAAGTAACAAATTTCAGATATAGTACTAAAATTTTTTTATCCTCCATTTACTTCATTAATTGACTTGGAATTGTGTATTTTAATTAATTAAAGGTTTAGCTTTGTTGTTTTTCCCAATTAATGAGTAAAACTAAGTACACATTTGATCCAGTGACGGTTTACAATGGGGCATCGGGCACGTACCCCCACAAATTTCAAAAATGTAAGAATAGTATATAATTTTTAAAAATTTTAAAAATTAATTCTCGTATTTTTAATCAAATCTCATTTAGATAATTTACATTTTGATAGTCACATAATTTTTTTTATTTTACGTTACTATGTGTCATTTATAATTTAAAAATGGAGTATCATTACTAGCAATTATATTTATCGGTTTAATCATGATATGTTGTCTTAATTTGTATCTAAATGTATATAACTGATATTAGTGATACATAATTCACGTGCAAATCACGTGCAAAACATGTGCAAATCACATGTATTTATATATACATATAAAGTTGACAAAAAAATTAATTGACTGATGTATGTTATTCTTGTGTCCTCACTAAAAAATATTTATAACTTTGCCACTAAGTTGATTGGTAACAAATTCTCACGAGATGTTTAGTCTGTTAAAGTGTAGTATAATCAATTGGCGGTGACATGGCCATCTCCTCATACATGTATATTTATATATATATATATAGATATATATATATATATATGTGTGTCTTAAGTTAGAGCAAAACCACAATCATATTAATCACCAACAAATTAATCAAATTAGTAGCAGCATATATAGCGACATAGAGCGAGATGGCTACATATTGGTTAGTGTTATTCTGACTTTCATTCTTGCTGTCATTTTAGGCAATTGGTGCAGCATTCGACCTCTTTGTTATGGTCTATTGGTGGCTAACAAACTTCTGTTTAAAACCCAAAATCATATGCCAGAGGAGTCCTCGACAACCTAATAATTTCACTATCCATGGCCTCTCGCCGAACAACATCATTGTATATTTGAGGCAGTGCAACAAGGAATGTACGTTTTGGAAGAAGTGAGCGTTTGTGATGATCCCAATGAATGGACCCAATAGAGTCACAATGATTAACTGTCCTACAGTCTCTAGTGGCAATAAATTTTACCGATCTTCAACATGTATCAATCCTTTAGGAGAATCTCAAT